CTCGCAATATTGTCTAGGCTTATCTCGAACTCCTGGGCTCATGCAATCGCCTCAGCCTCCCAAAGTGCTTGGATTATAGGTGTGATCTACCACGTCTGACTGTGTGTGAAGTATAAGTAGTGTTTAATGTCCCAACTAAAATCATTAATAAGAATTTAATTTTGCTGACATTTGTTAGCTTTTAAGTGCCTTCTGAGAAAAGTGGTGCTATTCAATATAAGTATTAGAAAGACAAAAGTACTGATACACAGTTTTGAGGTAGTTTGATATTCTTCTTCCAGTCTAGATATTATTTTGGCAATTTCTCTTAATTAGTCCAGGTGTGTTTTTGTGTCTGTCTCTGTCTCTGTCTCTCTCTCTGTCTCTCTCTCTCTCTTTCTCAAACTGGATATGTAGCTCCTGGATGATACAGAATTAGGTGTTTCTACTCTTCTTGACTTTATGTATATACTTTTACTTTATTAATAAAGTATTTTTGAAATCCAGAGACAATTTTGTTTTTAGCATGTGTACCACAAAAGTGGTTTTTCTTTACATAGATTTCTAATTTATGTGGTTAGATCGAGATTTAATTTCTGTTGAGAGTTTTCAAGTTTAATTTCTTCCTATATCACAGACCATTTTATCTTTATTTCTCTATAACTGTTGTGTTTAATTTAATCTTTAAATGTATTCATACAGAAATTGTCAATTTACAGAATTATGGCACACATCAATATAGCAAATTAGGGAGCAGTGACCTCTTTGGTCCTGAGTGCTAAGAATGCAGTGTATCGTTTTAGTTACTCCTGAAGAACATGGGCAAAAGAGAGGAAAAACACATGAAGAAAAGGCATGAGGGAGTAGAGAAAAGGAAGTAGAAAGAGAACAGAAAGGCAAGAGAAATCTCGGGAGAAGAAGTCACACAGAAGACTGATGCTGTGGCATGAGCAGTTGCCAGACACTGCAGCCAGTACCATGTGCATTCACCCAACACTGAGCTGACCCTGGAGTGATAAATGAATGAATGACACAGTTCCTGCTCTCGTGGAGTTTTTAATCCTTCAGAGAGGTCACTCAAATACTTAATGATGATAAAAATATAATAAATTAGATCAAGCCAGAGTACTACAATGTATATCTGCTTGACTCCCAACCTACCTGTTCTCAAAAGCTACTGTGAGAAGTATGAACTCACACTCCCTGAAAGGGTCTACCCTGTTCTCAGTTCTTTTTTAAAAAAAAGAGAAAACAAGACAAGCCGGGCTCGGTGGCTCAGCCTGTAATCCCAGCACTTTGGGAGACTGAGGTGAGTGGATTGCCTGAGCCCGCGGGTTCAAGACCCGCCTGGGCAGCGAGACCTCATCTCTGTAATAAGTCAAAAAATCAGCCGGGCGTGGTAGCGCACTCCTGTAGTTCCGGCTACTCGGAAGGCTGAGGCGGAAGGGTCGCCGGAGCCCAGCAGGTCGAGGCTGCGGTGGCTGGGAGCATCCACTGCACTCCAGTCTGGGTGGCAGACTCCAACTCAAAAAAAAAAAAAAAAAAAAAAAGACAGGCCACCCTCAACATGGTAAAATACTATATTCTTAGTCCTGTTTAAAAACAAAGCGCTATTAAAAAGAATTAATATGAATAGATACAGTCCCTTAGTGTTCTGATGTTGAATGGAAAGAGTAACAGTTCAACCTTTAAGAGAATTTTTACGAATTAGTTTACATTAGGAGGTAATAGGTTTCTCATCTAATGAGATAACCAAGCAAAAACTAGATGACTTTAAAAGTTGTTTTAAAAAAGTAAGATGATTGGACTAGGTGACATTGATGCACTGTGAATAACAATATGTAGTCAAACTTGTGCTTTCTTCTACATTGGTCTTAATTAGGTTTGAGAAAACCATTTAATTACTTTTAACTTCTTGTGCTGTTGATAAATTTGTACATGTTATTTTATTGATTGCATATGGGATGATTATATATATATATAGAGAGATTTTTCTTTTAAAGTACACTAAAAATTTGTGGATTATTGTGCAAGGGTGGCTAGGCCAGTTCTGGGATTTTAAGCTGGTAACTCTCATTATACACCTCCCATTATATATTACCTAAAGAAAGATGGGTTGGTGAGTAGGCCTTTTTGAATGGGACCTTGTGGAGTGTGAAGGGTAGAGGAAAGTTGTGGGAGACCATCTAGCGGCGAGTGAGAAGAGAACCAAGGTAGGAGTCATACGAGTCTACCAACATCGGAGGGTGGTTTTTGGAGAATTAATTTAGGTACGGTTCAGTTAGCAATAATTTACATGTTGTTTCTGTTTATTTACTGGAAGATTTTTAATCTAATGGTAACTTGTTTAATCTAATGTAATTTGTATTAATTAGGTTTTTACAATGGTAGTTCTAAATGGAGTCAGAAAAGAAAATTCTTAAAAGGTCACTTTTCCCATCTCACTCAGACACTTCACATTTTATTTACTTACAGATATGTCATTGACCTTCTAAAACATTTAGCGGAACTATGTATTTAGCTGATTTTAACTGGGTCCTGATAGTTAAATTACTGATAATTATGTTATATTGCACTGTGAACAAAACCAAAAAAAAGCCAAATAGTCCTTCTAATTTCTCTATGGGAGTAACATGGAAAGAAAGTGCTCCCTTTCGTAGTACAGTACTGTAGTACTTATGAATTATGATGTAGTTTGCCTTCCTTTTCTACATCTTCTATTATCAAACTATATTGTGTCTCTAGTTGGAGATTCTTTGAGTTATCTTTAAAAATGAAGCTGTTTAGCCACAATTTTATAAATATATCTGGCTGGGCATGGTGACTCAAGCCTGTAATCCCAGCACTTTGGGAGACCAAAAGGATTGCCTAAATCCAGGGGTTTGAGACCAGCCTGGGGAAAATTGCAAGACCTTGTCTCTAAAATAAGTTTTAAAAAAAATTAACCTGTAGTTCCAGCTACGTAGGAGGCTGTGGTGGAAGGACTGCCTGAGCCCAGCAGGTCAAGGCTGCTGTGGCCGTGAGCATGCCACTGCACTCCAGCCTGGGTGACAGAGACTCCAACTCAAAAAAAAAAAACAAAACCTGGATTACTATGCATTGTTTATTAAGATTTTTCTTTCTTTTTGATTTTATATGTGACATCTCATTGGGAAGGATTTTTTAAAATACTCATGGCAAACAGTTTTTGACATGTATAAAAAAAGTAGACAGATTTATTGCCTTTGAAATTAAAAAATAAAATAAATTACAATAAGTTGATTTTTCTATCGTCTTAATAGGACTTGGGATTTTATTTATTTGTTTATTGATTGATTGATTGATTGAGTCGGAGTCTCACTGTCACCTAGGCTGGAGTGCAGTGGCATGCTCACAGCCACCGTAGCTTCGACCTGCTGGGTTTAAGTGATCCTTCCGCCTCAGCCTTCCAAGCTGGAACTACAGGCACACGCCACCAAACCTGGCTAATAATTTTTTGATTTATTGTAGAGATGAGATCTCACCAAGTTTTCCAGACCGATCTTGAACCCTTGGGCTCAGGCAGTCCTCTCACCTTGGCCTCCCAAAGTGCTGGGATTACAGCTTGAGTCACCATGCCTGACCAGGACTTGGGTTTTTATGTTTGGTTCTGAATTTGAATTTTAACTTGGGAAGAGCAACAAAAGTCCTGTAATAGTAGTCATTGATAGTGTTATTAGTTGTTTCTGGTAGAGGTAGTAGCTGCCACACTAATAATAGGAGGAAGAAATAAATACCTGTTATTTGGCAGGTAAGAAAACAGAAGTTTAGAGAACCACAGCATCTTGTTAGTGACTGTGCTAGAATTAAAAGCCAGGTTTGCTAACATGTTGTTTCCATTATACCATATTATTTCAATTTGGTGGTTTGAGATAATGGCTGTGAAAGTGCTTTAATGATAAAGTATTATGTATGCAAAGATGAAGTGTTGCTGTAATAAAAAATGAACTTTAGCTTCAATTTACTAAAATGAGAACATGAAAATAATCAGCACACTTTGGGCAAAGGTAGGAAAGATATGACAAATGAAGGACAAGTGTAAAGTGGGTATGTTGAGCAAGTATATTTCACCCATTTAGTACAGAATTTTGTGGTTAGGTTGGGATTCTGATCATAGTGGTTCCCGACTCAGTATTGCCCTGCTTAACTGTATGACAACTGGTATGCAAATGTGGCGCACTGGTTGGTCTTGCTGTTTCTGCTATTTTTTCTTTTACCCCCAGGATCGATGTGTTTTTCAGTCAGAGATGATTAAGAACTTAAAAGTTTCTTTCGGGTAAAGTTAAAATGTGGAAATCTTAAGTGTGCAAAAGGTAGGAGATGCAAATACTGGACTCTTAAACTGAGAAATAAGCGGACCCTCTAAATAAATAAACATTTATGCCCTGTTCAGAGTGTAGTGTTCATGCCCAGGATGAAAGTGAGTAGGAAACTTGATTAGTTAAAGGTGTTGCCACTTTCACTTGCAGAGGTGCATCTTCTTGGAAAAGGTGAGAATTTTGAGGTTCTTTCTTCAATCAGGGAGGAGGGAGGAACACTTCAGAGCTGATGGGGTTGGTTAAGGAATGGGAGAACTAAACAATGAGAAATGAAGTTAGGATTTTAGGGAATGGAGGAATGAATGAACAGAAAGTAGGGGGAAGTAGAAGGTAATCTGGGTAGTTTTTGTTTATGTTCCTTTAGTTAAATTGGTGTTGCTCTCGTGGTGACTAGGAGTTTGGTGAGAGAAAAAAGTGATTCTGATGAGAAGAGTAAATCCAATTTGAGCAGGAGCATGTGTAATTGACAAGAAGGGAGTAATACCCAAAGTTGATTGAAGGAGACTGATGTACCACTATTATTGGAGAATTCAAGTAATTTAAATAGAGTTTTAATTTGTGTAAAAGTTGTATTTCTATTTTTAAAATGTATATGTCTTTATGTGTGAAGTATGATGTATTTTGTGTATGACTAAACGTTGCTTGAGTTCTGCTCAATTTATTACAGATTCTCTTTTGCTCTAGGGTTTGGATTCAGGATTTGTTCCTAGTGTCCAAGACTTTGATAAAAAACTTACAGAAGCTGATGCTTACCTACAAATCTTGATAGAACAATTAAAGGTAAGGCATTATTTTATATATTGAATTAATACAAAGTAGAAATTATTGCTGAGCTTTATTTTGTGTAAAAACAGTTACTTGATGTTAATTTACAACCCTTATATATAGTTCTTTAGAAATTTTTAAAACTGACTTACTCCACTTATTCAAAGATCTAGGTAACTTAGTCAAAGATCTTTATTTCTAATCTAAATTGTATTGGTTAATGGTATGTAATGCACTGTTTTGGTCATTAAGAAAAAGATAAATCAGTAGACATAAATAGAAGAAAATAAGACAACATTAGGTTCATATTCTGTGTAAAGCTTCATGAAACTGGTAAATGTCAGTGGCTCAATTTCATTTTTTTTTTTTTAATCAGAGCTTCACTCTGTTGCCTAGGCTAGAATGCAGACATGATCACGGCTACCGAAGCCTTGACTTGCTGGGCTCAGGCGATCCCTCCACCTTATCTTTCCAAGTAGCTGGGACTATGCCCCGTTAATTTTTTTTTTTTAATTGTAGAGACAAGATCTTGTCATGTTGCCCATGCTGGTCTTGAACTCCTGGGCTCAGGCAATCCTCTCACCTGGGCCTTCCAAAGTACTGGGGTTGTAGATGTGTCCCACCACTCAATTTCTAACACTTTGTTTTCTTTTTTTAATTTTGGGGAGGGGAAGTAATTTCTCTGCCTCCTTTATCATTATTGAAATAAATTGCTCCTTCAATTCCTAATTTAAAATTAGTTAAAAGCAGAGGTCCTGGCAAAAGAAACTATTGATAAGTTTGAAAGAATGCAGAAAAAACTTCAAGTTGGAATTTATATTTTAAGGTTTTTTTTTTTTTGAGTTAGTGTCTCACTGTGTAGCCTAGACTGGAGGGTGGTGACAAAATCATGACTCACTGCAGCTTCAAACTCCTGGTCTCAAGTGATCCTCCTTCTTCAGCCTCCCAGGTAGCTGAGACTACAGGTGCATGCCACCTTGCCTGCCTAATTTTTTTGAAGATTTAAAAGTCCCATCACTAGATAGAGTGTTCTTTCTTTCTTTTATTTTTTTCTTTTATTATTATTATTTATTTTATTTTTTATTTTTTTGAGTTGGAGTCTCACTCCTTCGTCCAGGCTGGAGTGCAGTGGCATGCACGCTCACGGCCACCCCAGCGTTGATCTGCTGGGCTCCGGCGATCCTTCCGCCTCAACCTTCCGAGTAGCCAGAACTACAGATGTGCGCTACCACACCCAGCTATTTTTTATTTTATTGTAGAGATAAGGTCTCTCCAAGTTGCCCGGGCTGGTCTTGAACCCGCGGGCTCAGGCAATCCACTCTCCTTGGCCTCCCAAAGTGCTGGGTTTACAGACTGAGCCACTGACCCCAGCCTTCTTTTATTATTATTATTTTTCTTGAATTGGAGTCTCAGTCTGTTGCCCAGGCTGGAGTGCCATGGCACACTTACGGCCACCACAGCCTCGATCTGTTTTAAGTTTTAAAAACTCATCTGTTTCTTTTGCCTGTAATTGTTCCATAGTGATTGATCTTGACTGTTTAAAATCATATCACACAATAGAATCTGACTTGATTCCATGCTTTGAAAAAAAATACATGCTATCTTAAAATACATGTAAATTATCCCTGGAAGAAATGTGTTTAAGAACTAGAGTTTGCTTTTCTGTGTTTAGTGAATGTACATAATGTAGCCAAGTGCCTTGATATCTAACCATGTTTAAAAATCTTGTAGCTTTTTGATGACAAGCTCCAAAACTGCAAAGAAGATGAACAGAGAAAGGTAACTTATGTCACTATGATTTTGACTTAAAAATTTTTTAATCCAAAACCTTTTTGGAGAACACTAAGTACCTTACTTAGTGTTTTGACTGTTATAATAGTATTATTGATCTATTACAGTAATACTGCATATGGACCCCAATGGTACTTTTCTGGTGAATTTCTGCTATGGTTTTATAAATAAACAGAAGGATAATGTACAGAGTTTTAATATAATACCTTTTTTCTAAGTACCACATTTCTAGGAGTATGTTTTTCCTCTTCACACTCATATGCTAAAGAGAACATTATTATGTTTCTATGTGGTCACTTCAGATACTAATAGACCAAGTGGCAAGAATTTTCAGAATAAACAAAGTACCACTCCGTTTATATCCTACTGTTGTTTCTCCCTTGGATTTCTGACATCTATTTTGTGGTTTGCATATTGTCTTTTTTCTAATTGACATTTTCCTCTCCTTGGCTAGATTTCTTCATTATTTATTTGTTTTTTTCTTTTTTTTTTTGCTTTTCTGTTTTATACCTGGTAAGAGTAGTAACTCATGTTCTAACTCATCTTTCATTATTAGTTTTGGAATTTAGTCCTATAACATTTTCAAAAAATTTAGGAAAGGTTAATGTGATTTAAAAATACTTATTATTTTCAAGTATTTATAGTAAAAGATGTAGGAAAGACAAAACTTGTTTTCAGGTAAGGAATAAGAATGTTTTATATTATTACAAACTTTGAATTCAGTTACATGGGTTTTGTTTAAGAGGGTTTAATCCATAAAATGTCTGGAATTTTTATATAAATATTTGATTTAGACAACCAAAATACAACAAAGAGAACTCACTTCCCAACTTGCTTGTATTCACTTAAAGTAAGTGCATTTTGATAAAATTATTTACATGACTAACCAGTAGAAAACAACTGCAATGCTTCCTTGTGTTTCTGATTATTTTTGTTTAAACTTATTTTTCACAGAAAATTGAAACTCTCAAAGAGACAACAAATGTAAGTTACATGTTTGACAAACTCTAACTTTGCATTAGAAAGTGTTTTACAAGTTATTTCTATTTAAGCTGCTATTATAAATACAAGATTTTAGTTTTTAATGAATTTTTATAGGACTGTTTAAGAATTGTGTTATTTTCCAAATGAATTTAAACTAATAGAATAATCCCTCTAATGAAATTGCCTTTACATATCATTTTATCTGTTTCTGGTCTTGTCTGAGATCCTTAGATAAAAGATATCATCTACGCACAATGTATATATTCTTTCTGACAAAAATATATTGTGATTCAAATGTTCTGATGTACCTGTCTTCTGACATTATATATGGGCTGCTCATGAGATTCGTATCTTTTTTTTTTTGAGTTGGAGTCTCACTCGGTCGCCCAGACTGGAGTGCAGTGGCCGCTCCCGGCCACCGCAGCCTTCCCTGCTGGGCTCCGGCGATCCTTCCGCCTCAGCCTTCCAAGTAGTCAGAATTACAGGCATGCGCTACCACGCCCGGCTAATTTTTTGATTTATTGTAGAGATGAGATCTCGCTGCCGTGGCAGGTCTCGAACCCACGGGCTCAGGCAATCCACTCACCTCAGCCTCCCAAAGGCGCGGGATTACAGGCTGAGCCACTGAGCCCGGCTGAGATTCGTATCTTGAGCAAAGTATTTTATTTTACTTTAATTACTGCTTTGTTTTAGTTTATTTATTTATTTATTTATTTTTGAGTTGGAGTCTCACTCTGTCGCCCAGACTGGAGTGCAGTGGTCGCTCCTGGCCACCGCAGCCTTGACCTGCTAGGCTCTGGTGATCCTTCCATTCAGCCTTCCAAGTAGCTGAAACTACAGGCGCGCGCTACCATGCCTGGTTAATTTTTTGATTTATTCTAGAGATGAGGTCTCACCTGCCCAGGCAGGTCTCGAACCCTCAGGCTCAGGCAATCCACTCACCTCAGCCTCCAAAGGCGCGGGATTACAGGCTGAGCCACTGAGTCTGGCTTACTTACTGCTTTAAATTGGAGATAAGTTCTCACTGTGTTGCCCAGACTGGTCTCAACTCCTGAGTTTAACAAATCTTCCGACCTTGGCCTCCCAAAGTGCAGAGATTACAGATGTGAGCCCCTGTGCCCAGCCCAGAGTATTTTAAAAACAGACAAAATAGTTTTTCAGGTTTACCACTATTTTAACAGGATCCTTTACTCTCCATCATACTCCCATCAAAGTCTTTCTTTTTTTTTTTTTGAGACAGAGTATCTTGCTCAGTTGTTCAGGCTAGAGTATAGTGGCACAGTCATAACTCACTGCAGCCTCAAACTGCTGGGCTCAGCAATCCTCTCACCTCAACCACCCATTAGGGAGAACTGCAGGCACATACCACCATGCTTGGCTAACTTTTATTTTATTTTTTTGTAGAGATGGAGTCTTGCTGTGTTGTCCAGGCTCATCTGGTCTCAAACTACCTTTCTGCCTCAGCCTCCCAAAGCGCATTGGGATTATAAGCATTAGCCACTCTACCCAGCCCATTATAGTCTCAAGTAGATGTCTTAGGGTTGCTGCTGTTGACCTAAGATCTTGGAAGTTAAAGAGATTCTAATCTTTTTCTGTTTGAAGTGTTTAGAACCAGCCTTGATGGCATATGCATGTAGTCCCAGTTACTTGGGAGGCTGAGGAAGGGGGAATCGCTTGTGCCCAGTAGTTCGAGTCTGTAGTTCACTATAATTGTGTGTTTGAATAGCTACTGCACTTTACACTGGACAACATGGTGAGACCCAGTCAATTTCTAAACAAAAAAGAAAAATTATTCAGATATGATTGTGTATAAATTAACAATTTTTGGCATTCTTTAAAATTCATAGAATTGCTAATGAATAACTTCATTTGACTCTGTCAGTTTATTAGAACCTGCTGGATTTTCAGAGAGATTATTTCTTAGGTAGTAAGAAAAGACTACCTATAAGACTTAAACCCTGTACATTTGAATTGATTTTTATATTATAAGCTTTAGCATCATGTGACCATTTTATTTGAGGCAAGAGACTGAAATTGAAATCTATTGTTTGTTTTTATAGAGCATGGTAGAGTCAATCAAACACTGCATTGTGTTGCTGCAAATTGCTAAAGTAAGTACATTTTAACTTTGATGACCTTTATGTAATGGGATTTAAAAAGTATAATGGCATTTTTCTTTGCTCGCCAAAAAACTGAGTTCTGAAACATACCACCTTTCTACTGCAAACTATATTGTGAGCCTCCTGATATTATTGTACAGCTATTGTTTGGATGTTATCTCACCCACTGTTTCTGGTCATGTAATTTCTGGTGGTGGCTGGGAAGGAGGACACCATGTTTGGATTACTCACCCCTTCCTTCCATTTTTTCCATTATCGTTGCTCAGAACAGTTACATATTTACGAAACCTTTACAAAAAAGTTTTTCTTAGAAAATAGGAAATTAGGTTTTTGTCCACAATGAAGAGTATAATAGATATATTTTTAAAAATTGTGTTACAGATTTTTTTTCTGATGTTGAGCTGCATTAATGAACTTTAGTTGCTGTTCTTTATTCATGAAACGAAATATATTTTGACTTATTGTGAGTTAAAATTTTCATGTCTGTTGTCTGCTTTTCTGAAAAATTTTGTTTCATTCAACCTAAGTATATCCCTTTGCACTCTTATGTCCCCTCTCAGGGGAGATTACTGGTGATTATACAGGACAAACTTATACAAGTGTAAATTTTTCAGCAATGTGTATTTCCTTGAATTTTTTCATTCAAATTGCATGAAAAAGCAAATAGAGATGGAATATATACTGAGATATGACTGCTCAGTTGAGAAGTGGTTTTCAGAATCATAAGTGCATCCTTCCAAATCATCTTTGAACAGCAGACTGAATAATAAATTATATATTATTAATGTGGGAGGAAGAAAACAAGACTGCACTGTCTGCTTGAATAGAAAAACACCAGGTGGAAGATGTCAAACAAATTATTATTGTACAACATGTATCAGTGAACCTGCAGTGCATGTCGGTAACTGTTTCATACATTACCACACATTAGGAAAATATAAGATATAATCCAGGTTCGGTGGTTCAGCCTGTAATCCTGCGCCTTTGGGAGGCTGAGGTGAGTGGATTGCCTGAACTCGCGGGTTCAAGACCCGCCTGGGCAGGCGAGACCTCATCTCTACAATAAATCAAAAAAATCAGCCGGGTGTGGTAGTGTGCACCTGTAGTTCCAGCTACTTGGAAGGCTGAGGCGGAAGTATTACCGTAGCCCAACAGGTCGAGGCTGCGGTGGCCGGGAGTGGCCACTGCACTCCAGTCTGGGCGACAGTGAGACTCCAACTCAAAAAAAAAAAGAAGCCGGGCTCAGTGGCTTAGCCTGTAATCCCACACCTTTGGGAGGTTGAGGTGAGTGGATTGCCTGAGCCCGTGGGTTCGAGACCCGCCTGGGCAGCAAGACCTCAT